TATATATATATATATATATATATAGAGGCAAAGTCAAAGTGATACCCTACAATTTCTGCCTCTTACTTACTGCTTAGATTGGGACTGTCCAGTGCATGCATGGCACCATTCACATAGAGATGGGCCCTGCCCTGAAATCTTACAGCCTAACAAACAAGGACACGCAAGAAGTCACTTGATCGGGGCAGAGCAAGGAGCAGAACCCATACCGCTCCAGCTGCACAGCGAATTGCTACAGGAAGGACAACTGAAGCAAAAGCAGGGAGCTAAAGGCTGTTCTGAAACTCTGTTTTCTTGCTGCATAAGAATGCTTAAATCAGTAATAATGTGGCCATTGCTTGTAAGCTCTCAGGGCTTTAATGCGAAGAGCAGCTCAGGTTTCAGAAACTGCAGTTAGGGTCCTATGCACTGCACCCAAATTCCCTGTTGCAGTAGTGAAAAAGTGTTCAAAAAGGCCTTCAAGGGAAATACCCAGCGTAGTGTACCCTGTCCACAGTCACACTTATATCCTGGCACTACATATGAAAGCTGATTTGCCTGACATGGAATAGCCACTGATTGTGACTGTGTGGCATGTATACAGGGATTGCCAAATTAGGGAAGAACCCAGGCCTTCCTAGTCTAGTACCCTGCCTCTGACAGTGACAGCTCCAGCTGCTTCCCAAGAAGAGCTACAAGCTGATGTGTGATAATCAGTCCCTATTCCAGGTCTCATCTTGATCCCTGCTTGTTCCTGAAGCACAAGGTTTAAATTCCTTTCCAAGACTGTGAGTATTTGTGATAGCTCCAGATTTCCTTCTTATCCATATAAATGCCCACATTCGGTGTCCATACTCTGTTTGCCTGCCACTCTCTCTCTCTCTCTCTCAACTACATCATGCTTAAAGTACCTGGGGTCTTTTCTCAATCATTCTAGCTCAGCTGGGCAAAATCCAATAAGAACTGTTTTTAATTAATTTAATTAATTGCAGCTGTATTTGACCAAATATCCACTGCACAGGCCTCCCAGGACCACTTCCTGCAGGGACTGGATGATGAAGTCTTGGGATTACGTTGTGTCATGTAGCATGGAGCTCCGAGATGTGATTATAAAAGTGTTAGAGCCAGAGCTGTTTATGCTGATCTTCTGAAAAATGGGGGAGCTAGAGAAAGCAGGACACCGCTCCAACCGACTTTCCATTCCGAATATGTAAAACCCAAACCTTTCCTTTGACTCCCAGTGTTGCCAAGCTGAAATGGTCAAAAATCATGAGACTGATTCCCAAAATAATGAAATCAGTTTGCAGCACCTTTGCAGAGTGCTTAGCTCCTGGGTAAGGGCAGGTTAGTTAAGCAAATCATCTACAGGTCTACAATCATTACATATAAATTAAAGCATATTAAGTTCCTGACATGGAAGCACTCATTTAGACTGAAAAAATTTTAAAATTGCCATAATTTAGTCCTTCTCAGGGGAGAAATTCTCTATGGACACCATAAACCCAAATAAGAGTTTGTACATGGGGGCTCAGTGTGCCTTCAGTTAT